CTCTCTCTCTCTCTCTCTCTCTCTCTCTCTCTTCTCTCTCTTCTCTCTCTCTCTCTCTCTCTCTCTCTCTCTCTCTCTCTCTCTCTCTCTCTCTCTCTCTCTCTCTCTCTCTCGCTTTATTCACGGTCAGCACCGTGAAGAGTGCTCGTCTGTAGCGGGCAGGCCGCGCAGATATTTTGCACGGCTGGCATGAGCACCGTCGACGCGGGCGTCGGCGACGAGGGCGCGGCCGATCTTTGGGGCGGCCCGGCCGCGGATCCGGTTTCCCCCAACATCCCCGCGGCGGGGATCGGCGTGCACGGCTCTCCCGATTCCTGCGACGCGAGCGCGACGGGCCGAAGCTCAAACACCCGTGCGGGGCCCGACGCTTGCTCCTCGGCGGCGGCCGTCGCCGCGGGCGGGCGGGCTGACGCGGCCGCGGCGCAAGTCGCATCGGTGCACAGCAACGGCGCGGCAGCCGCGCTGTATGCCGCTGCCAAGGAGGATGTGGCTAAGCCGTCTTCTGCCGCCCCCGCGCCGCAAGGTGCGTCGCCGGGCGGGATTCACGCTGGTGTGGCGGCAGGGTTGGGTCTGGTGTCTTGCTGTGGGCCGGGGGCAACGGACGCGACGACGATGACGTCGGATTCGGCGATGGGCTTATCTGAGTCGAGGGGTTTCCCCCCGGGCACGCCTTCAGTCAAACCTTTGCCAGTCGCCGCCGAGGGGACAGCCGCGGGATCCGGCGCTACCGACGCCGGCACGACTTCTGGCGCCGCGCATCAGCTGCAACCAGCTCCCGCCGGACCGCTTGACGTCGCCGCCATGAAAGATGAGGGCAAGTGTGGGAGCCATGCGGTCACCCCCGTCACCGCCGTTACCGCCACCGCCTCCGCCGCGGCGCCGCCGCTCCAGCTGCAGGCTGCCGGCAACAGGGGGCTGGAGGCGCTCGCCGCCTCCCTCGCCGCCCCCCTCGCCCCCCCCGGTACGGCGTCGCCGCGACGGCCGCAAGGGGGCGACATCGGGATGACCAAATTGGTGGACTCTTTATCGCCCGCCGAAGCGGCGGCACGGCAATTTGCGGCGCAGAGGGACGTCATTGCGATGGCCCTGTCCGGCGAAGTCAGTCCGGCAGAGGTGGCGGAGGCAAAAATGGAGTTGGAGGAGGGCGGCGATTGG